CATTTCACTCCAGAATTTAGTAAATATGGCATTGCGCTGAACGTCATTAATTCCTGGATTTTACTCTAAGGCACTCTTTTAATTTGCAAGAAGAACCCATTTTTCTTGCTTCTTTTGGGACATTCTGTTTTACTTTACCTTCTTTAGTTCTGCTGTACCCCATGTACGCTTTTCCTTCCATTCGGCTCCTTTTTGCAGAATTTTTTGCCCATTTATCAGGTTGAGCAGTAATACTTCTTTTCCTTCCTTCCGTTATATTGCCATGATTGATATCATTTTCTGTTAATGTCTCATCCTGTTTTGTTTTTTCATCTTTTTCAGCATTATTTCCTTGCTCTTCGTCGCTATCTGATGTACCATTTTCCTTTTTAGGTTCGTAGTCATCGTCATTAAAATCATTGTTAACACATTCTTCGTCTTTTTGTGCATCTAGCTCCAACATTTGAATATCTCTTAAATCCTCAATTATAATATTTTCAACAGGTTGCAGATGGCTTATATCCTTCAGCTCCTCTAGCTTCAAATTCGTAATTACATTCAAATTAATTAAAACGCAAACAATGTTAGGATAGTAATGCAAAATAAATAAGTGCAAATATTTTTTGTTAAATATAATAGACTTCGTTATTATACATAATAATTTAATATACTTATCGTAACTATTTCCATCACTCAGTAAATTTATAGATATCAAGTACTAGTTTAAACACACTTTTTACACAGAAATCCACACCAATATCAATTATTTTAATAAAACAATAACATTAGTTATAGCGGACACAGCCTACTACAACATTACATTATTTTAACAATGCCTACTTTTGAATTATTTTTAAATCAAATTACCAAAATTGTTTCTGTAAACAATATTTATTAATTTTTTATTGATTCAATTAAAAAAAAAACATAAAAAACAATGTACTTTTAAAAAAATACTATTTACAGTATTACAAATCGATTATTGTTTAAATAAATACCTTGTATACCACAGTTTGACTTATACCAAATGTTGCTTAAGAGGTATTCAAATTTTCATTGTGGTGTACGAGGTATTATTGTTTTCTTGTTGAGGTGCATTTGGGATACATGATGAAAGAAATCCCTTTTATCTAAGTAAATGCGTATTTGTGGATTACTAGGTGTTACTAGTACTATGTATAATTCTGTAGATGTCATAAAAATATAATAACACAATTTTGGATTTTTTGTGGGTTACAAGGCATTAGAATTTCACAGACGATATGCTGAAGAACATGAAAACAGAGTAGCATTTGAGCGGCATTTCAGCACTCCACTAATAGAAAAAATCACTTCGCGATTAGATAAAATGTGCAAATAGAAGACTAAATGCAAAATGGTTAAAACTAGACGTATTGAAATAGATACAAGGACACCGTCAAAATAGCATTGGAATTAATGCAAAAATGATAAATAGAAGCTTGTAAGTTGGCGCTACAGTGGAATTTAATAGACTTAACTAATGGAATTTAAGGGTAGAGTTGGTTGATGTTACAGATATATGACGTGTCATGGACTTAGTATACGGACCAAAACCAAAATAGCTCAGAAAATGCCACAAGAATATGAAGAGAAAATATTATCTTTCCATCGCTTCGAAAGAAAACCATTTCCGTGCCTCGGCTACAATTCTCTCAGTCGTCACCCAACTGAACATAATACTTTGCGGCTTTGGCACCCAAATAAGTATTAAGTACTTTTAGATTTTTGATAACATGTTCATTATTAGCAAAACAACTAAGTTTAATGGAAATTTAATTAAAATTAAAGATTTTCTTTTGGCCCATTTTAAGTCTATTAATAACTTAAATAAGAATGGTCTGACTCAATGGGTCTTGCAATCGCACATTGTCAAATACTTTGGACAAATCGACTATGCATATATGACAAAATTATGTGAGAAATTGGTGTTGTAATACCAATACTGTGATATTGGTTGCATACCTTCAATGATGACGTCTATGACTGTATTATTACCTTTATGGTGGGTAGCTAAAATCACTACTCAACAAAGCGTTAAATAAGTGTACAATTTAACAACCATCTTGATCATAAACAATTAATATTTTGTGCAAAAATGTAGCAAATTTACAAAAAATATTTGATTTAACTACAATCAACACGAAATTGTTAAATTAAATATTGTTGTTGAAGACGATTGAAAGATATTAATGTGCCAAATTTGTATGGCTGCCACCATACAACCAATTAAGTAATTCCCTAGGGGCCACTGTAAAAAAATGGTACACTAGAGTTTCTTTTTTGAAAAACGACATCTCTTTTACATGTAAATGGTATATATGAATAGAAAGCAAAAAAAGGTGAGTTCACCGGTGATCCTCATAGCACTGCAGTAACAACTGTTTTACTTTAGTGCCATGAGGATCACCAGGATTACTCAAGTGCAATGAGATCTTGAATTACAAAAATTATCTTTATTATCTTTGCCTTTTCAATGAAGCTTTGTAAAACATGGAAGACACATATACTTGTCACAAACATAACATCTTGTGGAAACTAATTTTCCTTTTTTTGTGCCACTGAACGTCCTTCTTTTGCAGCTTCTGCGTAACAATTTGTACATCTTCTTTTTTACCGATTGTTGTTATCCATTTCTTCACTTTGCACTAAGCTGTGTTTCAGGGAATCTGAACGTTTTGGTGTAACGTCATTCTTTTCAATACCTAGCATCTCAAGTACAAGCATCCCCTGAATGAGGCAATATGAATTTTCCTTTTGTGAAAATGATTGTAAATGAAAAGCGCATTGACTATAGCAGTATTCAATAGAACCTCAAAAGCTACTTTGTGATACCATCTGATGGTTTTTCTCAAGGGCGTAAAACAACTTGACATTTGGTCTGAAAGGTCTATCCCTTGCTTGCCCTTGTTGTATTTTAAAACAGCAACTGGCTTACAAACTTCCTCTCCCAACCTGTTTATTCGTCCAGTTGTCATCTTTTCCAAAGTATGTTTTGTGCTTAGGAAGTAAACATCGCGTTTCTCCTTCCACTTTTCAACGACAATTACTTTCGAATTTTGTTTACCAACCACTTCACCATTTTTTAGTTTTTTTGCCATGATATCCTTTGGTAAGTACTTTCTGTTCTTCCTGAGGGTACCTAATAAAAGGGTATCTCTCTGTAAAAGTGAAGTTGCCAATGGCACTGGTGTATAAAAGTTATCCACTACTATAAGCCTTCCTTCAGATAAATATGGTTCTGCAAGTTCCATAACTACTCTTTCAGCAAGTCCAGCAGACTTTAGTCCAGTAACTGTTTGTCCAGAATACACTGACATGCTCAATGTATATCCAATTGAATTGCACAACTTGAACATTTTCACTCCATACTTGTGGCTTTTGTTGGAAATGTACTGTCTACATAATAATCGGCCACGAAAAGAAATCATTGTGTCATCAACAGCTATCATTTCTCCAGGCACATATTCGACATTGAATCGTTCTTTGAATCAGCTATTTTAGGATACTTTACAAATCCCATATAAAAAAAGACAGCAAACTTCCACATTTCATCTTCATTGGTATCCACCCATTTATTGATTCTGGCCGAGTGACTTGGTCGACTGTTTTGAATAGTAGTTGCAGCATTTTTACTTCTTTCGCGAAAAATAACACTCAAAACTTCTGCAACAAAAAACTTCCGGTATATCTGCATGGCAGTTACACTTTCTTGATTTTGTGTATCAATGTCATCAATTTTGTATGATTCTGAGTCTAAAAACTGTATATGAAGTGGTAATTTGTCCACATGTATCTCTTGCCATTCTTCCGTTTCCTCTTGAACTGACGTTTCAAGATCCACTTCATCTCCAGAGTCCGATGACTCATCATCCACCTCCAATTCTGAGCAGGATGATGAGAATAAGCTTCCTTCAGAATCATCATCATTCTCAAGTGCGGCTGCAAGTTCATATTCTTTCAATTTTTTTATAGGCTTACGTCTAGTTACACCACTGGGTCTAGGTTTGGAATCCATGATGAAATTTGTAATATTATAAATAAATTCTAATTATCACTTCAGCACTTGGTCGTTATAAATAACAGAAAGTGAAGAAAATATTCAGGAACTAACCTCAAAACTGGTTTCGACTTGAGGATCCACTGTGACCTTCGTGGCATATTAGTGAAATTTTTCTGAGGAGCACCAGTGATCCTCATGGCAGCCAATCGTGTTAAAATAACTAATTATTTTTGCAAATTTGATAAACAAGGAATATAAAAAAAACAATATTTTCAAAAAAAAAAGTAAAATTGTTTTAATCTTGAATCTGTTTTAAACTTACATACGCATATCTTAAAGATTCTAAACAATGCTGCATCCTTCTATGCTCTTCTGGTTTTCCCTTAAAGTCCTGACTTTTCACGATAGCTTTCATACATTGTTCTACATTATCTATATAATTAAGTATTTTCCTAATCTTCTTTTTCTCGACTAAAACGTTTTCACCATCGCCTTGATGAACACTCCCACTACTATTTTGAACCGGCTGTGCAAGTTTTGATTGAGCTGCAACAAGATTTTGCTTTGCGACATTTTCTACCGATTTCTTCTCAACTTTCGGCTTCAATTCGTATTCCGATTTTAATTCATCAAACTGCTTCTTTACTTCCTCACGTACTATTTTCGATAACTTATTCGTATCAAGCAACAGTTTCTCGTTTTGATGATTACGAATCGGCGTTGAAATTTGGGGACGTCCTTCGTTAAGGGAAAGATTCGAAAGAGATTGAGAGAATTTGTCTTGCAGTTTTGAATCATTTTTTGTTTCACTTTTTTTCTTCGTTCTTTTCTTTTTAATTGGTGTCCAATCCGATGATTTTTCTTGTGGTGATGACTTTAATATGTCACTGTAAGATGATAGTTTTGGTCTGGATTCTAAAATGATTTAGAATGATAATAAAATATATTATTTTGATGCAAGGACAGTAGAATCTAATCCTTTGTTCTTTTGTAATCCAGAAAATGACGTCAGTATCGGACCAATACGTTATATCACGTGTCACACTCAGTCAGCAAATTTGATTATGATAAGGAGATAATATTGAGGTGTGTCACGACTGATATTTTGAGGCGCAAGGGTGACGTCACGGATGTAGCAGTCCTCTTAGATTCCACCATCCTTAATTTTGATGTATTTAATTTTTTACCTTGCATTAAAGATTTATTAATTGAAATAGATGAGGATAAAAGAGTTTCTCCGGGAATAGGCGGAGGTAAATTCTGATAATAATCTTCATCTAAATCGCTTTTTCCGTCAGAATCTGATGAGCAACTCTGGAATTCAGCCGATTCATTGTTGCTATGTGCTCGAAGACAAGTTGCGACATCCATAATTAAAACCCTAGAAAAAAGGAAAATCAATGAATTAGTTCAAATTAAAGTTCAAATTTAATTATAACGTCTTTTTTGAAAAAGATTTTGTATTTATCAATTAATTACATACTTCAACCTATTATTAAAAACAATTCTCCAGTTTTAATTACACCTTCTGCGAAACCCCGCTTTTATCAATTATCTATTAAAAAATTCACCGCTAAAACCTTTATAAAACCACCGAAATGATAGAATCAACATTCAGTTACGCGGAAATTAATAAAATGGATAATCACATTCACTTAAAAATAAATTTGCAATGTATGTACGTTGTGGGTGCTTACGATTTAAAATTTAAAAACAAATTTTTATCTTTTATCTATAACCGAATTTATTCAAAGCTGGTAGTGGGTTATTTGATGTGTTTTGTAATAACCCAATACATGGAGATTCTAACGAATTTAAGCTACGGCCCATTTTACGTCGTTTCGATACTAGGCGTCTCATTACTTTACTCAGATACGATTTGCAAAGCTTTAGTTTGTGGTGGGCCGAAAATAATGAAATTAATCGATCAAATTAAAGAGACCGAAACTCGAATTTTATCATACGAAAACAACGATTTAAAGGAAATTTATTACGATCATGTTAAATGGAATTACAAAGCCGATAGATTATTAATATGGGTCGGTGGTATCACCGTTTTACCTTTTTATGTTTCTCCGATTTTAATTCAAATTTCTGATGATTATGTAAAGGAGTATGATGGCGATGGTTACGAAATGAGACCTTTACCGTTTATAACTTGGTTCCCATTTAATCGATTTCAATATTATCCGATCGCTTATCTTTATCATATGTTAGCTGGGATGGCTGGTGGGAGTTTAACAGTTTCAACAGATATTCTTTTCGTTGGTTTGATGACTTTTGCTATTGGACAAATCAAAATTTTGCAGTATTCGTTTAGAAATTCGAAACGATTGGCTGAAAATTTGGCGAAAAATGCTGGTATTCCGTTAGAAGAAGCTATCGTTATTACAATTGGATATTGTGTAAGAATGCATAAAATTATAATCAAGTAATGTTTAATTTATTTTTAAATTTAGCACAACACATTGACTTTTCTTTTTTAGATATATTAAAACGTTGGATAGTGCAATGAGAATTTTAATGTTGTTCGATTTTTCTGTAGCATCACTTCAAATGGCTATGTTGGGAATACAAATTGTTGTTGTATGTAATTATTGATTTTGTAATCTTTTTTTGTTTCAATTATATTATTAGGTTGGATTTGGTTGGCAACAACTATTCGTTTTAGAATATTTAAGCGCAATGTTTGTCCAATTATTTTTATTTTATTGGCACGCCAACGAAATCATTCTCGAGGTAAACTTTTCTTCACCAAAACTATCGTTATTTCTATTTAAATTGTGTATAATTTCAAGAGTATCGGTATAGCTTCAGCTATTTGGGACAGCGATTGGATGAATTACACCACATCCGTAAAGAAGAGTTTGATGCTTGTTATGATGAGAGCGCAAAAACCACTTACTTTGAGCGTTGGTCCTTTTTATATTATGTCTACACAAACAGCTTTGTCGGTAAGCTTACAGATATAGAGTGTTCCGTAATTATCCAACTTCAGCTAAATAAAATATTAAACGAAATTAAAGTAAGAAACAAATCAACTTTTTATGGAAAAAAAATTAAATGACAGATCAATTTTATTATACATTGGTACTCAAACGTCAACTTAACGTCACCTGAGATTTGTTTTGACCAAGTGACTTAAGTTACAACGCAGTACTTTAGATGTAAAAGTTTAATTCATGTTAAGATATTATTAAAGGTAAAAATAACGGTTTTAAAACACATTAACTGCAAAAATGTGTGAACCATGTCCATGCGAAAAAAAAACGCGTTTAAAACGGAAATGACGTTAATTTTATAGAAAGTGTTAGTTCTGCCAAACCAAGACAGCTTTCTTGAATACAAAGTTCTTTTCGAATACGGCTGTGAGGAGGCATTTCATTTAGACCGCATTAATATTACTAATATGCCTCGTATTTGCGGTACAGCTTTCACTGTTAAAGTATAGGCTCAAAGACCGCTTCAGTAAGCACTTCAGTAAGCTTGCCCATCTGGTGGATAGTCATGCTCAGATATTGATAGCTGTTGACTTGGGTGAGGAGTTGACCATCACATTCATCATCATTCTCTGTCCTCGTCACCACCATAACTTGACTCTTTACCTTGTTCAACATCATCCTTTAAAGTCTCCAAGTCTGCGATAAGGACTACATTATCTGCATATATCAGAGTGTAGCACGTGATCGGTCTGAGGTTGAGCATGTCGACCAACGATGTTTCTGTTCTTCTCTTGCATGTCTGCACCACTTCATCCATAAAAGCTACAAATAGCAAAGAAATAAACTGTCCGCCGGTTTAACACCTTTTTCTATGACGACCATGCCAGAGGTGTTCCCGTTCACGCTCACCGTTCCCTCCACTCGCTGGAACATGGATCTGATGGCCTCAGTTGTGGGGGAGTTTCTTCTCTGGTGCTATCCTGACCTCTTGCCTTGGCACCTAATCAAACGCAGATGATACTGCTGATCCACTTATCAGTTATACAGGGCAGGGAGAAAATCAGATGTTGTCTTTGTCGCCCTGGTATGAAAGTTAGCTGCTCCTCATCCAGTTCTTTAATGCAAGTCCTTTAGGGATTATAATCAAGAAGGGTTTTTATAATCCCAGGATTTCGGAATCAGAATTCTCTATCCCGGGTAATCCCAGCTTTTATGGGCTACATATGTATTATATATGTAATTATAAACGAAAAGTGTTCAAGGTGTTCTAACCATAATACAAAGCATTATAAAAAAATCTACCATCCATAGAACCAAAGTAGATGAATATAAGGTAAGCTCACACGGTGAACGAATTGTCTCGGGAAATGACTTGAAAATAGCAAAAATAGCGCCAATAAATTGGTGTCAGTAATCATAGTGCCAATAAAGTTGACGCTACTTCTACTTTTTGGCGCGAATAGCAGTATTTATAAAGAAAACGTGTACTATTAACGTGTTCGTCCAACTAAAATGAACTAATCCGCTAATAAACCGTCCAAAAAATGGACATCAGAACAAACAGTACTATTTCTAGAAACGTACGAACAATATCCTTGATTGTGGAATCAGAAAATTCCACAATATAAGGACCGACTAGCACGAAATGAAGCTGTCAGAACGATAGTTGAAATTATGAAGAAAACAGTTCCTAATTTTGACGAAACCTCGGCAAAAGCTTCGTAAATAGCATCAAGCACTTCACACGTTTTGGCAAACGATGCATATATTACAAGGATGTGAAAGAATCTTCAGAGGCCAAAAATCTTAAAATTGCGTGCAGTTTTACGTGAGCTAGAATCTCTCATATGCATATATTGTTTTTGTATTTTACAGGATACTTGCCTCAACAAAAACATGAAACCTTCAGTCGTTCTTAAATAATTAAAAAATGCTTCTTGATCTTCATGGCATAATTCTCTAATTAAAATACTAGACGCACCTAGGTTATTTCTACGTGCAATCCACGATATAACCCAACAACTATATTTTCGCTTTTTTTTTTGTTAATAACGTATAGAGGTGTCCAAATTTCGATAGGTTTGCAGGGTATCTCAGTTATTATGAAAGATAGAAAGTTGCGGCTTTCGCGAATCTGAGATACTTTTTTTGTGAAACTTACCCCCTTCGTTTTTGATATACAGGAAGTGTTTGAAATTTACGATTTTCAAACACCTTCTGTATCTCGGCTATCTGGAAACGTAAAAACGGGTTCACTATTATAACATTATGTGGAAACAACTTCTGGCGCCAGCTAATTGGCGCCACAAAACTGACTTCGTACTGGCGCCAGTAATCCATACATGTGAAAACTTAGCTTTAGCAACAACTACTCTCTACTATTGTAAGTGTAGGTTTGTTTACAATGGCTATGACGCCGTTATGACATGCGAGAGCTAATTCGTTCACCGTGTGAGCATACCTTATATTCATCTACCTTACATAGAAATATTTTCAAAGAAATAAAAAGCACAGAAAAAACATCGTTTTGTGTTTAATAAACCTGCTGAAGAGAAGCACCGTTCCGATTTCACATTTGTTGGTGGAATGGTTTTCAAACATTCAAAAGCCATTATTGAATATATCAATTTCTTGAATCAATGTGCAAAAATCAAGAGTGCATTCTTAGTTAACTGGACAGGTGGCTAACCGATAGAACGAGTTTTATTCTTCAAAAAATAGTAAATTAATGACATAAACATAATCCCGAAAATCCCAAAATCATAATCGATTTCCTGGGATAACTTCCGGGATTTAAATATGTACGGGATCCCGGGATTGAAATCCTGGTATTGCAACTAGCCTCATGTCACTTAGTGCTTAGACGCCTCTCCAGGATTCTTGAAGATCAAAAAAATCTTATGGTTTCATCAGCATTACAACCAGCTATTTTGTAGACTTGCTAGCTGTCTTTACTGCTGGTCCTTACTATGTCCAGGTTCGGAAAATTTATGTTGTATCCATCCTATTTGTGGATGATCTTTGATGAAATATTGCAATCCAAGAGACATAATGCTATTCATATTCTGGGGAGTACAGGAATTAGACCAAATGACTAGCTTTTTTATTCCCGAAAACCTGTAACCATTTGGTCCAAAATTTTCACAAAAATCACACCTATCCTTTTTGAGTTTGAAAAATGAAATATTTAAATTTGTATTAAAAATACGTCGATAAACATTTGAATTTTCAAAAGGAAACTTAGAAATTTTATCTTCTACAGTTCAAAAAAATTTTGTTTTAGATTTAGATCCTCTTCCAGATAGCCTTTGTTAGTGCTGGCTCGACAGTAATAAGTTTCTACCCGGGAAAATGAATTAATGTGTTCTTTTACTTGGTCATTTTTGTCGGTATTGGTAACTTTAATCATGTATCCACGTACATTTTTTTTTGTATGCGGTGCCCCTTCATATCTTTCTTTAAAAAAAGAGGTTTTTTTAGCTCTGTGAAATTTTTCGGCGTATTTCTAGATTTGTCAATTACTTCTACAAACCAGTTTCAGAACAATTAACAGAGAAAATGGTGGTAATAAAACCAATGAACGTTTTAAATTTGCTAATGACAGCTTTTACTTACTTACACTGTAATGTAACAGTGTATGTATTCTTATGTCGATACATAAAGAGAGGGATAAAACCAGCTGCGATAACTTTAGAGGATAGCGTACTGTCAAATGTGATTTACGAGAGAATAACACTGTATGTAGTATAATACTGACTTATTGTTATTTTTATTGCTTCCGGGCTGAGGGGAGCGTCCCCTCTCGTCACTGTGACCTATAAGATGTATTGTAACTTTAGCCCTCCAAAACTTTAAGGCAAATGTAGGTCCTTAATGAACCTTAGTATTGGTCCAAGGTCTTGTTCCTTTATGTCGATAGGTGTCAAAAGAGCTTTACCGAAAATTTTGTGTCTTAGACAGTCTCTGACGACGCAACTACACGTATATGTTCAGCCGTTTCTGACTCGCCGTTGCGAAGTTAACAAGTTTGATCCTCAGCTTGTCCAATGGCCAGTCAGGAAACCTGAGAGCGTCCTTAGATCCCCTTTGCTGAGGCATAACACCTCTTTGGTTTTGTTTTGAAACGGAGTTATCATACTCTTTGCTTGTCTGTGACCTGGAAGTTCTTTCCAGCGTAATGTTACCTTCGAGGTTTTTGTATCATACTTCGTGACCTTGTGACCTGGAACCCACCATAGAGTAACATCATTGCCTCTAGCGAATTCTCTCAGGTTGCTGGTACACTCTCTGATTAGTGCGGAGTCACACGTGAAGGCCTGAATTCCCTTTAGGGTGGCACGACTATCTGTGTTTATGGATGCACTTGTCTGTCCCTTTTGTAAGTTCAAAGCGGTGCAGAAGTTTATAGCAACAACTTCTGGTTGAAAACTGGTTATGTCCGAGCTGAGGGGCAATTTAATGCGGCTATTTGGTCCACTAATGCCCATGCCTATTTCGGATCCAACTGTCTTTGAAGCATCTGTGTACCAGGCAAAGGCTCCTCTTTTTAGTTGAGACCCACCCTTCGTCCATAATACTAACTTACACTGTATATTTATAGACTTTAGGAGAATCTTTGGCAATATACAAATGGCCAGACTTGAGTTTAATCTAAGCAAAAAGTGTCATCTCAAATGACCCTGTCGAATTATATAATAAAGTGGGCGTTGAGCCGATTACTTGCTTCTTCTAGATTTGTATTTTGTGATATAATAACCATATCTTCTGCAAACATATGTTTACAGCATTGGCGATAGAAAGTTTCCTTGAAGAACTCCAACTTTCACTACTCTGTTGGTTGAGGTGTAGCTATTAATACGTACAGGAAAGGGGTGATTTTCAAAAATTGGAAATATTGCTACTAGGTAGTTGTGATAAATATACAGGGTGATTCTCAACCGATACACATAAACTTGGGGATTTACTCCTCATGACGAATAATGACTAATAGGCGAAAAAATTTGTAGCAAAAGATTTTCTGTTTCATAGATATCCGTGATATTTACTTTCAAATCAAGAATATATAGAGCATTTTAAAATAACATTACAGCAAGTGTTTGAAGTTATTTCTCATATTTTCTATCAATTGGGCTTGCCAAATCTACATTCTACCAGCAGCGCGGCCTATACTAGTATGTTGGCTGATTGTCTGGGCAGCAGACAATGCTCTTGTAATATTTGCTCAGTATTAATTTTACACTTTGCTTTTTAAGTGACTCGAAAAGTAAAAATCATCTCGACCGATCCATAGGTCAAGAAATACATTATCTAGACGGCGCAGAAGAGTAGAAGGAATAAATCCCCAAGATTATGCGTATAGTGGTTCTGTTGGTGCGCACTCAATTCTTGAGTTAATGCCAATGTCTTTCAGAAATGTTGCTGAGTGGTCTAATTCCGTCGTTTTTTCTTTCAGGACCTTGTTTGGACAATACTTTACGAAAAAAAGGTCTGATTGTCGTCACTGTTTTAGGATAAATGATTTGGTTTATTGCAGCTTGGAATGACTTTGGATATTTTGTTTAATTTTATTATAATCTATCTAATCAAATTCTTTGTTATGTTTAAGAAGTAAGTCATTGTGAAGTTTTTATCTTCAAACCCTTGTTCAATTATATCAATTACCTGGAGTTATAAATAGAACAAATTGTTTTATCTGGCAGGTTTTTCAATACTACATTTGGTAACATCATTCCCAAAAGCTTTTTTAGTAGGCACAAATTTTAGAATTACATCGTTTATGATAGTGAAGATGATTTTTATTAAATTACTGTATAGTTGTAGAAAATTGTTTATGTTTGGTGTGAATATTTTTAGTTTTCTTGCAAATAATCTATAAACACTTCAATTTTGCCTTTATTTATCTTCAGTTACAACTCCTGTTTCTGTTTTTCATAGGGATATATCCTCATATTTCCCCAAAATGGTTCTTCTTGTTTCCCAAAGACCCGGATAGTCGATTTTAAAAGTAAAAATAATGTTTTGGTATCTTTGAATATTATTCTCTTCTATTATTTTATGCACAATATACGGATGTGTATGTTTGGTTGCCTACCTCTTAAAATAATCTAGGCTGGGTTCGTTAGATTTTAGTTCATAAGAAAAACAGCTCATTTTATTTCTTAAAACACTTCAATAAACAATTTTTTTATTAATTTCTTATCATTCTTTCAAGTTTGAAAATCATCCTTATCGATATAGACTAATCTATTCTACTTACCTGTTGTTTTAGTGATAATTATGGGACACTGAGTCATTTCATTAATGAGTCCAATCTCAATGGGCCTGTAATCAATAAATAAATGAATTTATTGTAGATATTAAGAGCTTCATACTCGTATGTTGCTGTAATTCGACAAATGTATATGAGAAAATAAAATTAAATGAAAACAACAATTTAACAATTTTAAAGTATAAAATTAGATCTGAATTGAAGGATATAAGTAAGATATAAGTATTTGATAACAATATTGAAAGCAACTACAATTTATTTATGAACATAATAATTGAAGGTTAAATTCGTCCTTGAACGAAGTTTAAACATCAAACGTAAAAGTTTTATATAGAGTAATAATCATGTAACAATGTTATTAAAATCATAAAATTCATACCTGCTGAACGGATGCAATAAACTGAACACATACAAACAGTTTCGTGGTTAAACGTGCAATATGCACTAAAATGCACGTAGCAGCGTTTTTATCGATATATCCGAAGGTGACTTGATCAACTTGATGACTTATTACGAATTTAATCTCTTGATTTTTAAGCAAAACAGTTTAGTCAACAAAAAAATTATCTATAAAAGTTGAGTAACATAAATAAACACACTGATGTCATTGTTGTTAGTAAATAAAAAAAATGTTATTTGTTGTGAAGTGATTTATGTTGGCAACATTGATTTGAGGGAAATTTTTAAATTACAGAAAACTATAATAAGTATAATTCTTGTGGTTTAAAGATTGTTTTAAAATCCTTTATTGAATTATAATATGTAGATTACAAAGAAATAATTTTTAAAATGTAATATAATAAAGACACAAAAATTAACCGTTAGTTTTATTTGTTACAAAAAAGTTTTATGTTGGTAATATTAAATTAAAAAGATTATTTTAACAAATATTTATTGAATACTGCAACAACAGCATATAAATCTCGATGGGATATCATCATGGCCAGATTGATCGTTAGTTAAGGTGTAAACAGCCGTTTTTGAATTAAAACCAGTGGTACGATTTTTTTTGTCAGTTTCTGAAGATTTCTTTAAAAAATTGCTACGTTTTTCCGAATTAATTGTTTCTTTGGAGGCTGCTTCAGACATATTTATTCTATACGCCATTTAAAACGTTTTTTATTTATACATGCACATATTAAAAAATCAGCTTTTTAAAAATTGACAGATAATTCTGAACGTAACCTAAAAATCACAATTATTTTATTACTTAATTAGAATTAATTTTAGATTATCTAAATTTGTGCATTTGGTTCGCCTAAATAAAAGCACAAATGAAATTAATAATAATTTTTCATTAATTTTAAATTCAATATCTTACAAAGTTGATATAACTTGGAATTTATAAAATTATAATGCGATTAAAAATTAATTGTTTAGTAAATAATTTTGTTTGTTTAATCTATAGATTTATTGATTTAAATGAAAATAAAGAAGTAAAATTGCAAATTTGAATTATAAATCACTGTTGGTAACTTTTAATAATGTTTGGTTGGCAACTTCAAGTTGTTGCCGACTTCGCTATACGCATTTTGAAAAGAAAACCAAAAGCAAATTTGAAAAAAAATATATATATGTAGCTTGTAGGTAAATAAATTAATAGCGAAAAATCACTTACACAGTTAAATTTTACGCAAAATTATCTAATCGCGTCAGCCCAAATCCAAAAAGAAAAACCGTAGACGTCAAAACCAGGTAAAAATATCCATAAAAATTCTTTTCCTGTCAAAACTAGATAAATTTCGTTTACAGATTATTTTCATTCCGTTTTGTTTAACAGCAAATATGACAACGTGTCCGGTTCGAACGATTGCAAAGATTTATTCAGACGCCCTCGTGAACAAACCAAAAGAATTTTGGGATTATGACAACTTTACGCCGCAATATCAAGCGATCGAAAGCTACTGTCTCATTAGGAAATTAGGAAGAGGCAAGTATAGCGAAGTATTCGAAGCTCTCGACGAACTTAACAATGAAAAGGTGGTTATCAAAATCCTCAAACCGGTTAAAAAACGCAAAGTAAAACGGGAAATCAAAATTCTTGAAGAGTTACGTGGCGGAATTAATATTATCAAATTGTACGGCGTTATTTCAATCAATTCGTTATACACCGGATTAATTTTCGAACAAGTTCACAATGTCGACTTTAAACATATTTATTTTACACTTTCCGAATTCGATACACGATTTTACCTTTACGAATTATTAAAAGCATTAAATTTTTGTCACAGTAAAGGTATCATGCATCGTGATGTAAAACCCCACAACATAATTGTTGATCAATCTCAACGTAAATTAAGATTAATAGATTGGGGTTTAGCCGAATTTTATCACCCTGGACAAGAATACAACGTTCGTGTTGCTTCAAGATACTTTAAAGGACCCGAATTACTCGTTGAATATGGTTACTATGATTATTCCTTGGATATGTGGTCGTTGGGTTGTATGTTTGCTTCAATGATTTTTCGTAAAGAACCGTTTTTCAGTGGTAACGATAATTACGATCAATTGGTTCGTATTGTAAAGGTATTAGGAACCCAATTATTTTATCAATACATGGAAAAATATAATATTTGTATTAGTTCGCATTTTCAAGAGTTAATTGGTCAACATAATCGTAAAAAGTGGGAACGTTTTATCAAAACGGAAAATGAATATTTAGTAAGCGAGGATGCGTTGGATTTATTAGAGAATTTGTTGCGTTACGATCATATGGAACGTATTACGGCTAAGGATGCTCTTGAACATCGGTATTTTGCGCCAGTTGTTCGATATAACAAGACGAAATCGTTGAATAATAATGTTGAAAAGGAATCGGAGAGGCAGGTCGACGGTGAATCAACTAAATAAGTGATTGTGTGTAATTTTAATTTGATGTAAATTGTTGTTTTTAAATGAATTATTCTCAACATCAAAATCAACCAAAAAAAATGTAGTGTATTTCTTTTAGTTATTTCTAATAGGAGTAAAATTAAGCTTAACGAATTTGAATTGCTTGGCCAAACTTCACCAATGTGATGTATGGAACAAAAGTGTAAAAAAGTTTCTGTAAACATTTCTCTAAAAATGCTTGCTTAAAAAGTTAAGCGCCAATTTCAAAATTAAAAATTAATTCGAACATCTATTAACACCGTTGCGTTTTGTATTAGTTAGTTCTACTTTTAGTTCAATAAAAATATACAACAAACTAGTGCTGACCACATTTACTATGGAAACGGAAGCTGCTAAATAGTAACCTTTCTTGGATGTTTTGGGCACTAAGAAGACAGAACTATAAACGTTTTGCTAGCTTCGTCTCTTAAGACGAACGGCTAAACAGGATATTTTAACTCTTTCATTGTACCATCATTAAAACAGTAAGAAACCGTATCCATCTCAAGGTACAATAACAGTGAAAGGGTTAATCCTTTCAAGAATACCCAAGGCGTATTCGATAGAATTACGGACACTTCTAAAACCAGTACCAGGAAACTATTTTTAGAACTTCTAATCTAGCCATAAATCCATAAATCTAACCTGGCATTGTTGACACTTATTTGATAGGACCAATGTTTTTACCAGACTGATTAAATGGGCAAAAGTAGTAGGTATTTGCCGATTGACGAACCTCCTCCTGGAATCTCAAGGTTAAGGTCATGGCCACGCCGGGTAACCTTGAGTTCCAGGAGGAGGGGGTTCGTCAATCGGCAAATAGATGTGAGATGACCTTGACATTGAAGCTCCAAGAGGAGGTTCGCAAATCAAAATGCAAGTCAACTCCTCTCGCCATCATTTCAACCTTCACTCCTCTTCTATATAATGTTACGGTTCAGTTCGGTTTGTGAGTTTGTATTCTGTGTTGATCAATTCACCAGTGTGAGTGTTCTAAGTAACCTGTGTCATTGTTAATTTTTGTGAGAATTACAAAGATAACTAAATAAGCTGTAGTTGACGTGCAAAGATACGATATTCCTCAAGGTCACCCGGCGTGACCATGACCTTGAGGTTCGTCAATTGGCAAATACCTACTGCTTGCAAAATTACAGAAATTTCTTTGATAATAATCTACTTATCTTACTTGATGATGTTTCGTTGGAAACACTCCATGACTTATGATTTCTTTTTATTGGGCCACCTAAAACAACTTGTGTACTCTACACCGATTCATACTTTAGAAGAACTGTGATACCGAATCAGTAATAGTTTTTGTGTAGTTTCGGATTACCCCGGAATTCTTGAAAACGTCGACAATTCTAACGTCTAACCATAGCAAAATCCTAAGTAAACCATGTGAAATTTGTTCTTGTTAAGTATAAGTTTTTAAGGAAGTATTTCCAAACACAAGAATGTTTTTCACAATATTGTTGCATCACGCTGGTGAAGTTTGGCCGAGTAAAATATACCCTGTATAGTGTTTGGTGTAGAGATTTGGAGTAGCATCGAGATAACTTGAATTGAACATAACTCTAAAGAGACTTAATATTAAAATGATTAGATGGGGTTGTTATTCAAAGAACCCAATCTAATTCCACTCAAACCCAAATTTTCAAAATTCTTCCAATCACAATTAAAGGTATCGCCAATACAGCCGCTTAATCAGTACTGAGGCGAAACAGCGATAATTGGCTGGGATGCTGCCGGTGCAGTGACCATCTTCTTCGAGATCAGGAAAATCATGAAAATATGAACACTTCATTTTTAGAACATTCCTTACACACAAACGAAACAAATGAAAGAATCTATGGCTTGGAGTCATATACAACGAAAAAATGTTCTTTGCTGAAAATTGGCCGACTTGCGGCTGAGACACTAGTATCTGCTTAGCAGTTTTAGGTTGAACGAATTTTAGGCATAGAATTGTTATTTTGCCTCATAAACTGTATATATGTTGATCTACCTGTCAAAATAAATAACTTTTATTTGAAACTTTTCTTTATTTAGTGAATGAACACAATAAAAATTAAAGTGCAACCAGGGAATACCACAAATAATATCAAGGAGACTAGCAGTTGTTAATAATTAAGTACCAAAATACATAGACACAAGTGTCAAAATTGACCTGTTATTAAATCACTTCGATCTTTTTTAGGGCTTTGAAAATGATTAACCCTTTAAGGACCAAGGACGCATGTGTCGGAACCATACTATTGCGTTTATATGGTTTTTTTCGTCATGTGGCGCCAAAATTTTCTTTTTGGACAGATTATCACAAATACTTTTTTTAACGATATGTGTGAAATAAGCCAATACATGGATTATCTACATCATCCTGCTTGCCTCTATACCTCGTTGTAAACCTTGGCCTGTCTTAACAGTTCCTTCCAAACTTGTCCATTACGCGTTTCTGGTCTCCAACGTTCTTAGGTCGCCGTCCACAAATCATCGATCAAAGATAATTCTTGTGGTATCACTTTGGCTACATGACCAATCCATCTCAGCCTAATAGAAATTCAACATAAATTTAACTATCTCTGTTTCGCAATATAAAAGATACAATTCGAAATTGTAACGCTGATACCAGATACCGTTATCATTAACAGCGCCCTGTATTCTTCTAAGCACTTTCCTTTTTAATTTCCTTAGCATCTTAGTCTTTTTCCACTAAAGTCCATCTTTTCGACCCATAGCTAGTATTAACTAGCTAGTATTAACCGTCTCTATCTTATCATCCCTAATCTTTTCCACCATATACTTGGTCTTTGTGAATTTTATCTTTAAGCCTATCCTCTCAGCCTTGTAAAGGCCTTCTTTATCTCATTTTTGTTCTCCCTATAATATCTATCTTATCAGCGAATACCAAGATTTGCGTTGACTTGTTGGATATTGTTCGCATATTAAGAATCCTGCATCTCGATTGCCTTTTTCCAGGGCAATGTTAAAAAGCTGATATGCCCATTTCCCTTCGTGGCTTTCATTTGTTCTAGATAGATCTCCTTGTGTTGTTACTTGCGACACGTTTTTGTTACTATATTCAATGAGTTACATAGGACCAGAAGCGTACAAACACACATAGCAGTCGGTGCCGATCCTTGATGTACAACTACTAAATCCGGCTTGGTCCTGAAAGAATTATTACCTTATATTAAAGATTTTATATTTGATTAAGATATAGAAATAATGGAGCCGTAACCTTTTTTTTTATTGGCTTATTCGATAGTTTAGCAAAATTGAAGAGTTGTATAATTTTTTATTTTTCAAACTTGGCTTGATTTTCAAAAAAAAAAAAATAATGAAAATTTGAAAAAACTTTGGATACGTCACCGTCGTTTAGCACGTGGTTGGTTGAAATAAAAATCAATAAAAGGTGCATGAGCGAGATGCCAGGAGAATCTTATGCGCTAGAAGAAGAGATCCGAACGATGCACGTTTGTGTCTTCTTGATCTTCGCGAAAACTTCGTAAACGTCACCAAAGCTTTTATAGAGGGGATTTTGAATTTTAATATTAATTATTGCAAAAATTAAGCAATATTAGGATCTGAAAAAGTTACTAATCTTTCTATTTTTACATATTTAAATCGATTTTTGGAAAGACGGTTGGGTAAGATATAAATATTTTTAAAAAATAGTCTTGTAATAAAGCCAGTTACGTTGGATTATGATAAAGTTAAATATTCATCATACTTAAAGAAATCACACCGATTCTTAAGAGACTTTATTTTTAGATAATTTAGAGAAATACTACTTAAGACTTCCAATAATAAGGGCTACTTAATTTCATCATCCAATTCCTTCCACAAAACCTATTATAGATATGCTTCCAGATAAAATGCCTTTTCTAGTTGACAGATAAGCTCAAAATTTGTATCAAATTGCATTTTGAATTAAGTTTACACTTAAAATACTTTTTTCCTAATAATTTGTAGATGTAAGAAAGTAAAAGAATTAAAGTCTAATTAAAACTAAATATAATTCGATAAATTTATTTAAAATTTCATTGAGTCTTCACTTCATATATTTGAATATAAGCCTCAGTTAAAGTAATCATTTGAGGTAAGATATCAGAAACGTGCAAATCTTGCATCTCATACCATTTCCCGGTAGATTTTTGTAAAATATGTACCCGGTAAGTTCCTTTTCCAGGTTCACCATCATGAACTATATTCGCTATAAGATCATAAATAGTGTTTTTGTGTTGCTTTTTAACTTCAGGGCTTAATAATTCTCCAAAATCAATATTCCTATAAACAAATGTTATTATTTAAAACTCATTTTAAGTTTGACTAAAATTAAAAACTCACTTTACTGGAAAATTCACTATGGTAGGATTTTTTTCAATGAAGAAGGTATTTTTGGTAAACCTCTTAATATACAAAATTAAATAAGGCGGCATTTTCGTGATTTCAAACTTCTTCATAAAATTTTCCTTGTATGTTTTATATTCCTTTTCAGTCTGACCATTAAATTTAGTTAAAAGTTGGTAAAGATTGACTTGAGGAATAATATTTTCACGAAATTCATCAATAAATAAAGGTGGTGGAGGTAAATCACACGTCAAATATAAAAAAGGCGATTCAGAAATTTCTTCTTGATACTCAGCAGTAGCCATAAGAGCCCTTTTTTGTTTATCATCCAAATCAGTTGGGGGAATTTTTCTACTATAAATTTTCATCGAACCCAAAAAGCACTTGTATATTATCGAACTATCTTTTTTCTTTGAACCATTTAAAGCTCGATGTAAAGCGTTTAAAAACCAAGATAAAAAATCGATTGGATCGCCTTGTTGTGTGAATTGAAATTTTTTTCTACTCCATAATACAACTGCTTGTAACATTTCGTGCGGAGATACGTGAGCTTTAAAATTGCGAGGGTTCCATAATTTTCGCATTAATTCCCCGAATCTTTGTACCAATAAGAAAGCTGAATCACCAGGGGGTCTTTTTATTTTGCTGTAGTTTTGTTCTCTCAAAAAATAATCGCGTAATCGAATTACATGGCTTAAAGACTAAAAAAAATCTTTGTAAGAAATAAAACAAAATAAATATAAATTAAATTACTTGTAAAACAACATTACAATAATCATTAGCTTTAATGTTGTTTAATCCAACAATCCCAGGCATATACATTGATCCATCAATCGCCCTTGATAATTTCATGCTTTTATCTAACCTTTCAATTTGATCTTGGGTAAAGGTTGGATTTAAAACATATTTGATATCATCCAATGATGAATCTGTGAAAAGTAAAGCAATTATTGTATTAATGGTGTAAAATAACACAAATTAAAATTATTTACCAATTATTTCATAATTATCCGGTAAACAATAAAATTTTAGTGTATGTAAATTTAAATACACATGATGTCCCTCTGCTACAGAGTGAGTGTAAGCATGGGTATTTGTACCTCGACCCTGAAAATATTTTCCACAAACCAAACAAGCGTAAACGTTGATTCTGGTCAATGAAACAGAACAAAGCTTTTCAAAATCAAAGTCAAGGTATTGTCTGTTGATTGTATCCAGATAAGGGCATAATTGAATACTTGCTATAAATTTAAAAACGTGTAAAATAAATTATAAAGAAGTAAACATTTTTAGGTTACCTTTTGTTTCAACTAATTCCTCTTCTTTAACTAGACAAATTAAGAAAAATGTGTAATATTAAAACAAAGATAATTTATTTAGCTTACCTTCAAGCTTTAATTTCTTTGCTTCAGGTTCTTCCATTTTTAGAGAGATTTTCCTTTAATATTTACTTTTCTTAAATATTTGAGGTTATGTTATGCGTCCATTAAAACGTTTTGATGACGTTTGCAAGCGCCATCTATTGCTTTAAATAGCAAATTTATCCAAATTTGTAATGATATTTTGTAAGAAAATTAAGGATATATCGGTTTTGAGTGGATAGAAATTATACAAACGTGACAAAATTAAAGTACAAAAAGTCGTGTGGAACTGATAACATATCCATTGATCAACATAATCAAAAATGTTGACCAAGATTCTTTATGACTCAAAAGTACCAGATGAATGGCATAACAGATCACCATCCCAATATTTAACAATATTTGTTTATATCATAAACCGCTGCATAATTGAGTCACATTTCCCCTCTCAGTGGAAGTCTGCTGTGGTCATCCCAATACCGAAAATCGAAAAACCTACTGACTTTAAGCATCTGCGACCGATTTCTATTCTTCCAACCTTGAGCAAAGTACTGGAAAAAGTTATTTCCTACCAATTTAAAAACTTTATTATTTCAATACATACATATGTATCTATGTATGTAGGAACGGGGAAGGTTTGCTTCCGCATACAGCACCTAGGCCCCAACTGGCCCCTTGTAATTCCTCCTGCACTCTCTCCAGCTACATCAACCAGCCCAAGGAATTTCCGTAGGCTAGGATACAGCTCAGAGGTGTGTTCGTGATGCCATCTGTGGTCGGCCATTCTTCTCTCGCGCATTCACACAAGATGTGTCGAACCGTCTCCTCGCTCTCTTCACACAGAGGACTAATAGCAAGCTTAAGGTTATAAAGATACTTGTTAGTTTAGTTATTCACTGCGGCCTTCCCCAATGTCAGGTGATAGCCCATAACAAGTCCCGAGGTAATTGTTATTCTACTCAGGGCTAAAATAACTTATCTACTGTCAGTGTAAATTGTAAAAGTCTTACCTACTAAGTTGGATCTGACAATAACGTCAGTGGTAAGTTGTATGGCCAATAACTCCGCCTGTATGACGGTGGTACTTTTACCTAGAGGTTCAGATACGTGGAGTCGGAGATCGTACGAGAAATCTCCGGTTCCAGCTCCTTCCCGTCTACTTGAACCAGCAGTGTAGATTTTAAGGCTGTTTTTTACCTCTACTTCTGTGGAACTAGCGTGGGTGAACTATTTCTTCACGAACTTCTTTATTTTGCATTATAGTGAGTATTATTATTGTTTTGTTCTCTTTACTCTGGAAATAAAGGCTGTTTATTATTATTATTTATTATTTAAGAAAGGACAAAAGATGCGTCCGGAAAATTATAGAGGAATATCATTGCTAAACACTTTCATGAAAGTATTCACAAACATTGTTAAGAAAAACGTTGAAAACCAAATAACTAATGCTGAAGAACAAGAACGTTTCAGAAAATGTCTATCTGTAACCGATAATCAAACAGATAAAAGAAAAATCCATCGAATTTGACAAACATGCGTTCATCTGCTTCGTAGATCTTACGAAAGCTTTCGAAAAGGTCCATTTGGCCTTAAACATCTTAAAAGAAAAGAATGCGCCAGCCAACATAGTAAAGATAATACATGAGTTGAATACGAATAATACAACTAAAGTAAGGGCAGGGAATCTAGTAACGGATGCTATTGACACCCAGGCAGGAATTAAACAGTCTTAGCCCCTTTTCATTTAATCTCCTGATGGATAAAATCATAGAGGAAGTAACATATCCTTAAATGTGGGGTATATGATGGGCACCAAGAGAGTTAGCATGGTGCGCTATGCGGATAATGCAGCAATAGTCGCAGGAACAGAAGACGACCTACGACGACTTCTTTCAAGTAATCCGTAAGTGTAATATGGCTATCTCCGTTGATAAAACTAACTCCATGACTACTGCAAAAAAGCAGATTAGATGTAAACTCGTAATCGATGATAAGTCAATAGAACAAGTTATACAATTTAACTATTTAGCCGTATACAGATGTATCTAGCAGTCATGATCCAGTGAAAGACTTGTGAAGTCCAATTAATAAAGCATCCGCAATATCAGGACAATCTGGTCGAACCCGTATATGCGAATAGACCGATAATGACAAACGGAATAGAAGTGAGGGCAGAAACAAACAAAACCAAGAGCATGCTACGACTGGCCGAGATAAACCAAGATCAATTGCAGGGAAACGAGAATGGACAGAGTGAGAAATTCGGATATTAGAGATCAATGCAACATTCTAAACATAATGAGATGGGGAAGACAGCGGAAAAGACAATGGTATAATCATGTGAGGCATATGAACGAGGATAGACTTCCAAAAATTGTGCTTGTAAATAACCCCCCCGGTTCAGGACCACCTGAGAGTCCCACAAAGAGATAGCGTGACAGCTGGAAATCGACATCTCAGGAAATGGTTTAAAAGCAACGACCTCAGAATTAACAGAACGACAGATCTCCAATAAAAAAAAGAAAATGTGAGTGAAGTGAGGACAACATTTCTTTAAATCGACTTGCTTTTCGGGAAATTCTCCAATTTATCTTCTCCAAATTGTTGTAAAACTGTAATTTTAGAGTACGTTACAAAAAAGCTTGTGAGAAAACATAAATGATAATGTCACAATTTAACTAAAGCGGTTTAATGACTTGATTATCGGTTACACAATATAGTTACAAGTTGAAAACGCATTTTATTTTAAGTGTTTGTTTTAGACACACAAGTCGTCAAATATTTTCTTCCCAGAGTAAAGCTTTTCTACAAATATACTCTGTTATAGCCTTAGTTGTGGGTCAACTACTTTCAAATCTCCGTTTACACTTTAGCAGATATTTTTTCAAAAGTCTACAGCTTTCAAATTGTTGATGAAAGTTGTATCTCAGTTGAATTTTATAATGATCTATAATATCTGCCCAAGACATTACGCAATAACATGAAAAGCAATAGTATAGTCCAAGTGAACCTACTTTTAGATATAGAAACATAATATCATCTTAGGAATAAGTTGTAAAGTTTCTATCTGTAATTAGGAAGCAACTTTGAAATACTTGCTGCGTTTATTGGTTTCTGGTTTATTATATATTTCGATTAAGACAGTATTTTATGTTGCAATAAGAAGTATTTTTATGTTAAAATATCGTGCGAGCGGAATCATTGGTATTTGCAAAAACTATTTGAATACCTTTATGCGAAAAAAGTGATTTGTCATAGAAATGTTTAACTTATGGCAAAACTTAAGGAATCGTAGGGAAAATGATCGAGCTACTTACCGGTTTGGAAGGTAAGTGTCAGAGAACCTACCTGATTAGTTCCAACTTGCGCTGTATATTGAGTAGACCATAAAGAGCAAAGTTATTTGAATAGGGACCTCCTCGAGTAATAATTTTGCAACTGTGGAAACACCGAAACTATAGAACTATATGGTAATAATATGTGAAATATATACGGCAGATTGTGTTGAAGTGGGAAGGGTGCTGGGGCATAGCTATTCGAGCAAATAAAAAATATTCAAAAATTTATTCAATTTTCATTTTTCTTTTTATTCTCCTTTATGCTTATCCGTCATCATCCTTAAATTGGTTAGAATTGTTACCTCAGGGACAGTTGATGGGTATTTTGGTTTCCCTTAAAGTGTGTCCAAACATAGAGCGGAAGTCGTGTGCAGTAGTTTACTTGCCGCTTGCGAACATTTTTAGCAATCATTCGTGAACACAAACATTCTTTGGTCCTTACTTATATTCTAACTTGCGTCCGACTAAATTGTGTCCCACGTATTACTGCCGTATACTTGCTGCTCTTGTTTGGACGCAATTTTAGGCTCCTGATGGAAAAATCCATGATTGGGTGTTTCATGATAGAGAAATTTACAATATAGAATGATAGACAATAAAATTACTAACAGAACTGCCAATTTAAAGGACTGCCAAATGATCATAGAATGGTGGAATAACCTAAACTCAGCATGGCTTATAAAAAGCCCTAAACACACTGAGCCCAGCGTGGCAAGTCAGAAAGTTTAGGTAATCCCTAATGACAGGAGGTGAGGACAATTAACGTGGTCAAAGGTAGAGAGTTTCCATTCTTAGCGGGCCGAGGAAATGTCAAAGTGCGATTTAAGACTAAACCTGAGAAACCACTATATCTATCGTACCCGCTCAAGAATTCGTTTGAACATACTAAATCGAATTTATGCACCCTATGTTGCACCCTACGCTGTGGGTAATCACTAATCACTCTTAACTCACCAGACTAGTCATTGTCTATGTCAATGAATTAAAGTGCGAAATACTTCAACGCTTTTAAAATTCAAATCACTTCTTCTTGATGAATATCCTGTTGTCCTTATTATGTTGGCTTTGAATAAAATTTTACAAATAACAATTATACCATCAATTGAATGTAAATTGCAGATGTGGCAACACCAACGGATGGTGAAATACTTGTCATACAGTTGTCGTTTAATCAGCAGCTTATTCAAGCAGTATGAATGTTGCTACTTATTTCTAAATAGAATAATATGATTTTCGAGTCACTGTTGCTCTCACTCTTTCAACTATAGTTGGTGTTTTAGTTTGAAAAAAATGAGATTGTTGCTGATGCTGTTGTTGTTGTTGTTGTTGTTGCTCTCACTCTTTCAACTATAGTTGGTGTTTTAGTTTGAAATTGTTCATAAGGTTTGATATTTATTAGTGATGCAGTTATTCACTAATAATAATAATAATAACTTTTGATCCATCTTCTAAAGTATTCCCTTTCCCCAGAAAGATCCTTGAGCTGCTGCATATCTTCCCTCGACTGGCCACAATATGCGTCACTGTCTCATTCTATGTTGTTCTCGGTCTTCCTATGTTTCCCAGACTTGATTGTTATCAATTATTGATTGCGATTTTGAGCATTGAAAGTTGCAGGCCAATCAGTGATGTCTTTAGATTTGTTTGTTATACACTGTGTACATAAAGTAAGGAATAAATTCGATTAAAGTTCCGGAAATGTTCTTAATTTATTTTCAACTTAGGGGTCGTATCTGAATTTTGGAATATTCTGTACATTTCAATTTTATGTTAAATTGGTTGTCTACACACACATTATTTTCAATTATTTTTCTACTTTTATTTGTTATTGATTTTAAAATGTAAACAAGAAAAATCAGATTTTAAAGTTCAAGGCAAATTATTATACGATAGTGAAAATAATTTACCCAAAATAGTAGAGGTTTAAATTTTTACTACACTAAAAATTTATCTAAATCATTCAACAACCACTTTTTTCTTTTGCAATGTGTTAGGTGCCTCCGAAATTGGTGAAAAATTTGCATCTCTATCCATATAATTACTTAAATTAATTAAATTGTATCGATTTTAATTCACATCCATCTTAAAAGTACTGTTCCAACTCGTGACCTCTCCGGAAAAGTGGGGGAAAATTACTCTGTAGAAATACGGCGTCCTGCTGTCCAGTTTGGGTGTTTCCTTTGCTAAAAGTACAACGAACTTTTGCAACCAGTTACTCCTTACACTATCCACATAATAAACGGTGAGTAAAACGATTCATAAATTAGGTCGTAATGAAAGGACACTTTCATATTAAATATCGATTGTTTTTGGATGATACAGCATACATAGTGTGTGAATGAAATTTAATTCCTTTAACATCGTTTCTCTTCTTTTACATTAACGGTAAACGTGTGAACTTTAAATAACATAGAGCGATATCAATTTTTGTGTCAAAGGTGATGAGACAGGCTTTCCAAGAAAACACTAATCATTAAATCTTATAATGTTGCATGAATCACGTTTATCATTGTATTTAGAATAATAGTAACACTATTATGATTCACAAGATCGTTTTTCTATTTTCAAGGTTGTTCTCATTCAAGTGTAAATAAAATTTCTTTTTAGACAATAGTTTTTAACCGTTCTGAAAATGGCAACAATAACGGCAAAATCAAATTTTAACGTCGCCGAAGATGCAACAACATTAAGAGAAGCCATGAAGGGTTTCGGAACTGATGAAGATATAATTATTGATATTTTAACCACTAGAAGTAATAATCAACGCCAAGCTATCGCTAATTATTTTAAAAATGATTTGGAAAGGGTAAATTTTTGTATTAAAAGTGAAACCTCAATATAACGGACTCGGATATAACGGCCAAAATATTTTTGAGTCATACTATTATTATTATCTACTTAATACATCAGTATATTTAAATATAAATGTTAGCGCTCATAGATAGAATTCAACTCGGGGTATTCTCCAAGTTGCTGTATTCCATGTTCATAGATAAAGTCGGGGTATTCCCCGAGTTGTCTATACATGCCGTGCGTCTAAAACAAGAAACATTCGGATTTAGCCACACGTCTCTCCAGACACCTATACCCGAATGAATCTAGTTCTAGGTCTTGTGTTAGTTCTAGTGATAGAGCTAGTGCAAAACTACAACTAACACTAGACCTAGAACTAGAAACATTCGGATTTAGCCGCACGTCGCTCAAACCCCATTGTTTGTAGTTCGAAGTATGTATCTAAGTTCTAGTAGAACTAACTAATAAAGAACGCAACGATGTGGATAGCTGTTCGAATTTGTGTGTATTAAAATTATTCATTCAAACAGCTTAAAGTGCAAATTAAAAATTTTTCAAATAACAGACTTTTGACTATAACGGACACTCCCTTCCCCATATTAATCCGTTATATCGAAGTTTTACTGTACATACAGGCTGTCCCGAAACTCAACGTCAAGCGGGCACCGGGCGAGAGGCCAACCCATACCTGTTCTAGTAAAAATGAGAAAAAAATTCCATGTCTCTTAGTTAAGTAGCAATAGACATATTTTTGAAAACGTTAAAAATCGGCCTGTACATAATATCTTTAGGTACTACGGTCAGAAATGTCGCAATTTAATAGTGATTATTATAATAATGTATTCCTTATGAACCATGCTACTGTAGAAGTCACAAATCAAACAACAAAAATCGTTAGTTTTGCAAAAAAATATATTAATTTGATTGAGTTAAGGTTGAAAGAATTTATGTCTATCAAGATTGACACACGATTTCTAAAAAAAGGAGTAGTACAACACCCTTGGCAAGTAATTTTACAAGATGGTTGCCCTTATGTCTTGCAAAAAGTCTCTTTCAAACAAGGTTAACCTAAAAACAAAATTAAACAAACAAATTTATTTATTATTAATTTTATAGCATTATTTTCTTAAAACTAAGGCAAATGCTCAAATTATTTGCAGTCGGCACTAATACAAGCTCTGCATCGTCACATAAAAGATCTTTTTACTAGTTGTGCAAATCTCTTTGCATTTATTTCTTCTGCTGCTGTATAAATATTGTGATGCAGTTCGGCAAGATTTTCAATCGGTTTTTAATACACCGTTTCTTTCATGTAATCCTAATAAGAAAATCAATTATTTAGATTTAGACCCAGAGAATGAGGAGGCCACGTAATCGAACCACGACGCCCAATCCATCTTTCTGGGTAATCTGTTTGCAATCCCGTACAGGACAAGCATAATGAGCTGGGCAACCATCTTGTTGAAACCACATTTCTCTGTAGATATTGAGTGGCACATCTAACAATGTTGTTAAATCATTTTGGAGGAAATACAAATAACATACGAAAGTATGAATTTTTTAAATAACGCGTTTTTGGCAAAAACAGGCAATAATATTTTTTAGGAAAAGAAAAATGGTAAGTGTTATACCATTTTGGAATCTTGACTAAACAGGCCATCTTTTAAAATAACTAGCCAAGGGTGTTGTACTAGTCCTTTGTTTAGAAATTGTGTGTCAAACTTAATAGACATAAATTCTTTCAACCTTAACTCAATCAAACTAATACTTTTTCTTGCAAAACTAACGACTTTTGTTGTTCGATTAGTGACTGCTATAGTAGCATGGTTCATGAGGAATACATTATTAAAAAAATCACTATTAAATTGCGAACATTTCTGACTGTAGTACGTAAAGATATGATGTACGGGAACGATTTTTAACATTTTCAAAAATATGTCTATTACCACTTAACTAAGATACATAGAATTTTTTTCTTATTTTTACCAGAACAGGTATGGGTTCGCCTCTCACCCGGTGCCCGCTTGACGTTTAGTTTCGGGACACCTGTATATATATTTTTCTAAATATATTGTTTTAAAGGATTTAATCGATGATTTAAAAAGTGAACTTGGCGGTCATTTTGAAGACGTCATAGTCGCTCTAATAATGCCACCTACCGAATATTTATGTCGTGAACTTAATCGAGCTATGGATGGGGCAGGAACGGATGAAGAAACTTTAATTGAGATTATTTGCAGTAGAGAAAATGGGGAGATTTGTAAAATTGTTGATACATACGAAAGCGGTACCATAATTTTAACATTAAATTTTTTTTATGTTGATCGTTTTTAAATTTCAGTCTATGAACGTCCTCTTACTGAACATATGTGCAGTGAAACCGGCGGTGAATTGCGAAGACTCTTAACGTTGATCTTAACGGGAACTCGTGATGATTCGAAAATAATCAATGCGGAAGAGGCAAAAGAAAAAGCACAAGCTTTGTACGAAGCCGGCGAAGGTCGTTGGGGTACTCACGAAAGTACTTTTTCAGCGATTTTGGCGCACGAAAATTTCAAACAGCTTAGATTAATTTTTGATGAGTATAAAAATATTTCTGGAAATACCATCGAACAAGCGCTTAAACACGAATTAGATGGAGATTATTTGGATGCTTTGTTAACAATAGGTATATATTTTTGATGTAACTAAATTCTTCTTATGTTTTACTTTTTTTTAGTTGAATGTATTCAAAGTCCACCGGCTTATTTCGCTCAAAGACTGTACAAAGCAATGCATGGTTTAGGTACTGATGATAAAACTTTGATTAGAATAATTGTGAGTCGATCAGAAATCGATTTGGAGCAAATCAAAGAAGAATTTGAGAGGCAATACAATAAAACTTTAACTAGCTACGTTGAGGTTTGTAAATTTTGAATAATTAAAATTATTTTTAATCACTTTTTCTTTTAATTTAGCAGGGCGAAACGGGTGGTGATTATAAAAAAGCGTTATTAGCTATTATTAAGTAAAGAAATATATTTTAAAAGAAAAGCAACAATATAAAAAAGCTTCCTTTTATAAAAAGTGTTTTAAAAAATTCCAAAAACAAATTTGATGTCAATTAGTTGAAATTAATTTTCATTGTTTAAATATTTAAAACACTTTATACGTATATTTAAATATATATTTTTGCAATGGATACGCTTTTGTAGTTGTTAACGTCTATAATCTATTTATTATTAGAATCTGAAATAAAAAAAAATTGGTCCAAAGTGAAATTTATTTTTATTATCTTTTAAAACCTTTAAAAAATTAAAACAAAGAAATATATCTATGTGTTTTAATAATGCCGGGATCCATTATGGAACGGATAGACGGCAGCTATCCGGCTATTTTTTNCTAAAGATATGATGTACGGGAACGATTTTTAACATTTTCAAAAATATGTCTATTACCACTTAACTAAGATACATAGAATTTTTTTCTTATTTTTACCAGAACAGGTATGGGTTCGCCTCTCACCCGGTGCCCGCTTGACGTTTAGTTTCGGGACACCTGTATATATATTTTTCTAAATATATTGTTTTAAAGGATTTAATCGATGATTTAAAAAGTGAACTTGGCGGTCATTTTGAAGACGTCATAGTCGCTCTAATAATGCCACCTACCGAATATTTATGTCGTGAACTTAATCGAGCTATGGATGGGGCAGGAACGGATGAAGAAACTTTAATTGAGATTATTTGCAGTAGAGAAAATGGGGAGATTTGTAAAATTGTTGATACATACGAAAGCGGTACCATAATTTTAACATTAAATTTTTTTTATGTTGATCGTTTTTAAATTTCAGTCTATGAACGTCCTCTTACTGAACATATGTGCAGTGAAACCGGCGGTGAATTGCGAAGACTCTTAACGTTGATCTTAACGGGAACTCGTGATGATTCGAAAATAATCAATGCGGAAGAGGCAAAAGAAAAAGCACAAGCTTTGTACGAAGCCGGCGAAGGTCGTTGGGGTACTCACGAAAGTACTTTTTCAGCGATTTTGGCGCACGAAAATTTCAAACAGCTTAGATTAATTTTTGATGAGTATAAAAATATTTCTGGAAATACCATCGAACAAGCGCTTAAACACGAATTAGATGGAGATTATTTGGATGCTTTGTTAACAATAGGTATATATTTTTGATGTAACTAAATTCTTCTTATGTTTTACTTTTTTTTAGTTGAATGTATTCAAAGTCCACCGGCTTATTTCGCTCAAAGACTGTACAAAGCAATGCATGGTTTAGGTACTGATGATAAAACTTTGATTAGAATAATTGTGAGTCGATCAGAAATCGATTTGGAGCAAATCAAAGAAGAATTTGAGAGGCAATACAATAAAACTTTAACTAGCTACGTTGAGGTTTGTAAATTTTGAATAATTAAAATTATTTTTAATCACTTTTTCTTTTAATTTAGCAGGGCGAAACGGGTGGTGATTATAAAAAAGCGTTATTAGCTATTATTAAGTAAAGAAATATATTTTAAAAGAAAAGCAACAATATAAAAAAGCTTCCTTTTATAAAAAGTGTTTTAAAAAATTCCAAAAACAAATTTGATGTCAATTAGTTGAAATTAATTTTCATTGTTTAAATATTTAAAACACTTTATACGTATATTTAAATATATATTTTTGCAATGGATACGCTTTTGTAGTTGTTAACGTCTATAATCTATTTATTATTAGAATCTGAAATAAAAAAAAATTGGTCCAAAGTGAAATTTATTTTTATTATCTTTTAAAACCTTTAAAAAATTAAAACAAAGAAATATATCTATGTGTATTAATAATGCCGGGATCCATTATAAACATTATAAACTAGTGGTGGAACGGATATCCGGCAACTATCCGGCCATTGTTTGAAATCCGACTGGATACCGGATAGTTACTAAATATTTGGCTTTGGCCGATTAAAAACCTATTACTTAGTACTCCACCATTCACAGGAATTAGTATCTCTTTTGCGTGTTGAACACTGCAGATTAATCAAGTTCAACCCCAATACAATCAGGTTTGTCTTTAGCAACCTCATTGTAACAATCCGAATACGATATATAAAATCTCTTGTTGCAGTTTTGTCTAGTTTCCTTCTCTTCGTTTGTAATTCATCATCATATTCATTACTAACGGAATTGTCGCTATTACCACTTTCGATTATTAATTAAAGTATCCTCTTTTTAATGCAACAAGCTGTTTTGAAAAATCACTTTTAGTTCTTGCGAAATAAATTTTTGAAATGATCGACCATTTTTTCGTATTTTTCTATTTTCGCATAAAATTCACTTCTTGGAATATGAGTATGAAAATTTCCCAAAGTGTTAATAAGAGTATCCTCTTTCCAATGAACCAACCTGTTTTGAAAAATAACTTTTAGTTTTTGAGAAAACAATATTTGAAGTTTTGATAAAATTTTCAATATTGTAATTTTTATCGATAATTTTCAAAATTCGCTATAAAATTAATTTCTTGAAGGATCCTTGTGAAAATATCACTAATTATTAATTAAAGTATCCTCTTTTTAATGCAACAAGCCGTTTTGAAAAATCACTTTCAGTTCTTGCGAAATAAATTTTTGAAATGATCGACACTTTTTTCGAATTTTTCTATTTTCGCCGATTAAGTCTTAAAAATTCGTATAAATTCCAGTTCTTGGATTACGAGCATGAAAATTTCCGAAAGTGTTAATAAGAGTGTCCTCTTTCCAATGAACCAACCCGTTTTGAAAAATAACTTTTAGTTCTTGAGAAAACAATGTTTGAAGTTGTGATAAAATTTTCGATGTTGCAATTTTCATCGATAATATTCAAAATTCGCTATAAAATTCATTTCTTGAAGGATGTGGGGATATATTATTAATTAAAGTATCTCATTTTTAGAGTTGCTTCGTTAGTTAAATCAGCATCAAAAAAGCTCATGTTGTATCTTGGATCTAAATAAGTTGACATATCTTATCAGCTTTCTTATTAATTTCATTTTTATTCAAATTTCGCAATGATGTTGCAATGTATGGTATCACTTCAGAAATGTACCAGAAATTAGAACCATAATGGCCGGATAGATATGCCGGATAACCGGAAAATCGGACGAAGAGGATATCCGTCTTGTCGCAAAATCACTATCCGTTCCATCACTATTATAAAGTACATAAGTATAGAAGTTCGATCAAGGAAAGAAATATGTTTTAGCAACAAGCGGTTATTATTTCCTCTTAAAAGAAAGAAGTCTCGAAGAACAAGGCAAAGGCGAAGTATAAGGAAGGGCAAGGGAAACAAAGAAATGGATATTGTTTATCGCTCGAACTATCGGACATCGGACGCCGGTGGAAGGATTGCTTATTGATGCGTCTTTCAATAGTACATTTTATAATTTATAAGCCAGTATGCCCACACAGGAATTGTAAAAGGAGTGAAATAAAACTATGTGTTCTTATACTCCAACGATTTTACTGTTTTGTTATAGTAAAGTAAACCTTCAAAACCGAGTTATGTCACAATATGTCTGCTTCCCACAATTCTCTTTATATCATCAATCCACCTTCTGGGAGGCCTGCCTGTACTGCGTTTTGATGTTCTTAGCCGCTAACACGTTACCCTCGCTGTCCATCTAAAGTAGTCTTACAATTATGTCTTATTTCTGATTCTATCTCTTAAGCTGATATCAACCATAGTTCGCTTTTGTGCTCTCTGCATGATTTTCAATTGGTTTACACTATTTTTTGTATTGCCATGGTGTTCAATTCATAGGTTGCCACTGGTAGTACGCATGAGTCATGTCTCCGTTTCTCAGCATGTGTTTTAATTTGCTAAAGGCTGCCCATGTCAGTTGTATTATGCGTTTTTTCTTAGCTGACTGATTTTCTTTGCCCATCTTGACTATGTAAATATATTCCATTTCACTTTCCACCAATTACTTGTCTACGGTGATATTTTCGTCGGTATTACCAACATATTTAAAGCTCGAATAAACAATCAATCATGTACCCAACAACGACATTTTCATCATGACCAGCGATTTTAATGCAAAAGTTTCAAACATAAAAGATGAGTCACCTTCGCAACATTATCGAACAACACGGTCTTGGAACTACTTTGTAATAGCTGATACACTGTTCAAGCACCACCCACGACGATTATCAACATGGACAAAGTAGATGGAGAACAATAAGACATACTAACACAAGACCAGGTGTAGTATGCGATGCGGACCATAATCTTCTACTAACAACTTTAGCTCTAAAACTACAAATAGTCAAGAAGCGAAGTAAAAACAAAAGAATGAATGCGCCAGCGATGTAGCAGCTGCAAAATTAGCTGGAAACAATATAATAATCGAAATTCTTTGAAGACACATTATGGAACAATATCAAAATTTAGATAGAACAAGCAGTAACGCAACAGCGTTAGAAAATAAAAAAAGAATCATGCTTAGGATTCATTATGTCAAACTTGCAGGCCAAAGAAAGAATGCACAGAATAAACCACAATCATTACGTAAGAAGAATTTGCGAAGAAATATAACAATAATCCCAACAAAATGAATCACACGATTTGTACAGAAAAGTTAAGTTCCTTGCAAAAGAGTTTAAGTCTCGTACCCAAATAATAAACAACAAATATGGAAATACAGTAATTGATGCAGATGATATGACAGAGGGTTGGGGGAAGCGTTTCCAAAATTGAATAAAATTGAAAACGGAACGAAAAGAGCCACACAGCACATAAAAAATTACAATTCATCCGGAATAGATGGAATTCCTGCAGAGATCTTCAAAGCCATGGGAGGTCAAAGTTCCATTTCTTGCACTGATTGCAAGCAAGATATTATTGCACATAATCAATGAAATACTAAAAGCAATTTTATTTCTACAGATATCGGAAGAACAAAGTGGATTTATGCCGGGTAAACGTGTACGAGAACAAATATAATTATTTAATTGGAACGGCGGCGTCTCGGTTGGTGGGAAGAAATTTAGCAACTTGAGGTATGAAAATGACACGCAGCAAGCAGCAATCGCACGACCTCAACGCATGGCTAAGTTAAAAACTAAAGTAATGGCAACAGATAGCTATCTCGGAAATAACGATGTTGCGAAGTATGAGTTAGTTGACCAATTCGTGTACCTAGGTACTCTTATATCTAACACCGGTGGTTGCGGTGAAAAAATGAAAACACGCATAGCTATGGCTAGAGTAGCCATGATAAAATTATCCAAAATTTGGAAAGACCGAGCTATTAGTAGTAATACCAAGGGGTTGCTTGCTAAGTCATTAATTTTTCCAAACACCACGCATACATTGGAAACGTGGACATTAAAACTAAAGTGACTGACTAAAATTGAAATGTTTTAAAAACATCAATTTTCAAATCATTATTAATATTCTTTCAACACCCATAAAATGAAAACCCTACTTTACTAAATAAAAAGATAGCCATCAATTCCTAGAAAAAAAGACTGTTTTTTCACCGTCACATTATATTTACGCATGTTTTCAAAACTGATGGCTTGATATATAAGGACGCGACTCATTTAACACGTATGGAAAAAGGGTTTGTATTAAACATTGTCCTATGGTAACGAGTCTGGAAAGCAAACAGGGTGAAAGACAACGAGGCGACGATTTACGCGGGCGTTTATTCAGTACCTCGTCGACTACTGTTGAGGTTGGTGTTGAAAAAAATTTTTTTTAAATTGTTAGTGAAAAAAAAGTCGCGATGTCGCGTAGAAATTACTTTGGAAAGACCATCAGTCGAAGTTTGGTGGGAAGTCCCAACAATTCGATTTATTCTTTTGGCGGGAAAAGTAATCGAACTCCAGAAAATGCTTCGAGTATTTCTACAAGCAGTAGGTAAAGAGATTTCAAAATTGAATTAATATTTTGATTATTTTTTTTTATCATGGAATTTTTTTTTCTTTGAAAATGACGTCAATTGAGCGCTGAAAACTGCCCGTTTAACTTAATGAAACTTTTATAAAGTGTATGCACGCGCGATGTACAGATACCGACATAATCATAAATCAATGGATTCGATGTTTACCTTGACCGTAAATTTAGACATAAGATTAATAATTGTAATGGTGTAGTACTTGACAAATACATTACTTACACCATATAGATTTCAATAGTTTTTAAACAACCCCTTTTTTTCTTTTCTTTCATAAAACGTTTTAAAATTAATAACTTTAAGTTATTAAAAGAATACTTAAAAAGAACTTTTTTTTATTATAGAAGTGGAAGTTTGGAGTGTTTAGATTTGGATGAAAAACTGCGAAAAGTGTTAAGTGACGCAGGCGAAGAAGACGGTAACATAAACGTGGTAGTAAGGTGACCTTTTTTTCCAACTTTTCGAATTAAATATTAACGCGCCCACTTTTAACAGACAGTTGACCTTATTAGATCGTAGAAACGTTTTAATTCTAGAATGTCTTCTAGGAGATATTCCTTTAATATATTATTTACAGGGTACGACCTCTAAGCGAGAAAGAGAAGAGAGTTCGAGATCCATCGATCGTACAACTTCTCCCTGACGGCCAAATTATGATCGAAAATTTCGGGAATAAACCGAAAATTTTTAGCTATAACACCGTTTTTGAACCAACGGCTACGCAAGAAGATGTTTTGCAATATTCGGGGGTTAAGCGATTGATTGAAATGGCTATTGAAGGATTTCGGTGCACAATTTTTTGTTATGGACAAACTGGAAGTGGGAAAACTCACACGTTAACTGGACCACCTAAATTAGTAATCTAAAATGTTGTTTTTTGGATTTTTGCTATTTTTGAATTTTAGTTTAAGAAGCTTTCCCCATACAGTGAACATCACGGTTTGATATTTCGAGCTTTTTTACACATATTTGAGGAAATCCAAAAAAGAAACAACTTCAATTTTATATTGAAAGCAAGTTTTTTGGAGATTTACAATGAAAAGGTTATCGATTTATTAAACCCGGCTATTCGAAGAAAACCTTTGGCTGTTCGATGGAGCAAAAAAAATCGCGGCTTTTTCGTCGAGAATCTATTTATGGTCGATTGTGAGGAGTTGGACGATTTGATTGGGGTTTTAGAAGAAGGGATTCGTAATCGATCGATGGGTTATCATAACATGAATGACTTTTCTAGGTAAAACTTTCTTTTAGAACTTTATTTTTAAATATTGAATTGTTTTGTAGTCGTAGCCATACAATTTTAACTGTGTATATAACGTCTGAACAACCAGCAGAAGGAGGCGTTTTTATTTCAAGATCAGGTAAAATAAATTTTGTGGATTTAGCGGGGAGCGAAATGACGAAGAAGACGCAAAGCGCCGGAAAAACTTTAGAAGAAGCGAATAATATAAATAAAAGCCTTATGGTTTTAGGTAAAAAGCAAATCAAGTGATTACCAAATTGTAAATTTTTGATTGTATTTAAGGTTATTGTATATCAACATTAAGCGATACAAAGAAAAAAAATAACTACATCCCTTACAGAGACTCAAAATTAACAAAGTTATTAGCAGATTCTTTGGCGGGAAACGGCGTCACTTTAATGATAGCCTGTATATCTCCGGCTCGTTCAAATTTAAACGAAACTTTAAACACTTTGAGATACGCAAGCCGAGCGAAAAAGATTAAATTAAAACCGGTCGTTATGATGGATCCAAGAGAAGCTTTAATTTTATCGCTAAAACAAACCGTGGAAAATTTAGAATTAGAAAACGAGCATTTAAGAAACGCTTTATCAACAGTACCTTTATCAGATTTTACTTTAAGTAAGTCTTTAAAATTATCACAAAAAATACTTAAAAAAAAATATTTTAGTTTCAAAAGATGTTAATTCAAACGTACCAAAATTAAACGTTGATGATATAGTCCATATGGACAACAAAGAATTAATCCAATTAGTGCAAGTGTACGCGGAAGAAAACGAAAATTTAAAAAACGACAACGCCCAATTATTTTATTTAAAAGATCAAATGTTGAGGGACCAAGAATTGTTAAGTAGAGAAAACGAAAAATTGGTTCGAAATCTCGAAGAAGCAAAGAGAGTCACAGTAAGATCGCCGAATATCGCGGTGAGACCTGTTATGTCAGCAAATGATCTTTTAACCTTGAATGATGATGAATATTCTTTGACGTTTAAAAATAGAGACATTTGGACTAATCCGGAAGAAATGAAAAAGGTAAAAAACAACTTTAATTAATTGACATAAATGAATTATTCTAAATAATATTTTAGGATAATAATGAATTACTACCTCCTGCAGTAGAAAAAGAATTGAATAAACGAAGGATAGAAATTCCAAAATTGAAATTAAATTCGAAATCGTCCGAGTCATCGGGAAGCGTTTCAAGTTTACCTGAAATTTCGTTGAAACGACTTCAACAGAAAAATCCTGATTTGTTTGGGAGTTATATTAATAATTAATTAATTAATAATTAACTTTTTATGAAAATGTAAAAAAAACCTTAATTATTAATAATGAATAATTAATAATGAATCATTACCTCAATAATAAATCAGTAATAATTGTTATAAACTCTAAAAAAAAATTGTAATTTATTTTTATGTTTAAGAAATGTATCATTTGGAGATTTATTAATAAATATACTTGCTAACAACTTTCCTGTTTTAATCATTTAAATTGTTTAATCCCCAAATTACATAGACACGTAGTACACGCAATATACCATCTTATTATTTTGCTCAGTTTACTTTATAGAATAAAGGTACTTTAAATCTATTGCTCCTTTGTTATAATGTAATTGTTAAATTTTCGTCTATAAACTACGTGCCAAAAAAATACAACACCTCGAAAGACCTGAGTCACAAAAAAATATAGTTCATAACAATTAAAAAAATACCCACAATTTATGTCAATAAAATGTTATATCCCCATAATTGTTTATGCACTGTCTTACTCTGCGAGACATGCTCTGAATGAGATTATCAATGGTATCTTGTGGAATCTCATCCCAGGCTTGCTGTAGATGACGACGAAGTTCCTGCAAGATGTTTACTGTTTGTGTTAAACGCTTTATGTAGTAACCCATCATATTCCACACATGCTCGATCGGGTTTAAATCCGGAGAGTGAGCAGGCCATCGAAGAAATTGTACTTGTTCTTCGTGTAGGAAGTTCTCATAGATCTGGGCGAAATGAGTTCGGACATTATCCTGTTGCGTCGAACGCCACGGAATCTTCTTACCATTATCCGTCGAATATTTTGCCACAAACAGAACAGGGCTTCGTCACCAAACATTATGTGATCCCATTCATCGATCCAACGTTGTCTTTCTTGGCACCATAGAAGTCTGGCTCTTTTATGAAGTTGCGTCAAAAGAAGACGTCGTAAAAGTCGGTATGAGTGGTGATTAAAAAATGAAGTTCGTTGGTAGGGACACAGTTCTCCGCGACACTATCTGCCTAAGATCTCTTATACAATCAACACCAATTGCAGCCAAAGAACGAAATCTGCCTCTAAAGGTATGTCCACACCAAACATTTTGTTTCTGATTGCCGCAACCTGTTTAGGAAACAGAAACAATAAAAAAATTATTGTAAACATTCTGTCTACACCAAGAAAACTCGTTTTAGTCGCTTATCACCGTGTTGTCTATTGTTATGATCTTTAGTCCACGCAGTCCATCCTTGTTTAATTTCAAGAAACGGAATACCTGCCTTGTGCGGACAATCCTGCAAAAATCAGGATTGAATCAGGATGATTTGCAAGCTACAAATCATATCCTAGCCAACAGTTCTAATTGGACAAATTTGAAAAAATACAAATTAATTCTTCTTCCTCTTTTTAAGGCCTTTGCCTTGTACTCTATTATCTCGAGACGCGGCTGTGAAGATGAATTTCAGCTTTCATACCACCTTGTGGGTGGGCGTACAGGAAGTCTGTTTGATCTTGGAATCATCCTATGCAATTTTCGCCAATCTGTTCAATCATCCATCCGTTCAACATGTTCCCTCCATGCGCGACGTCTGGTTCGGGACCATCCTCATCTCTGCTGTTCGAATTATTCTTTTTGTTGTAGAGTTTCCGTAGCGTATGTCATTACAGGTCTTAAGCAGGTCTTGTATATGCTGATTTTACTTTGTATGGTCATGTGTTTTTTCAAATTAAAACAAATAGGCCAAAAAATAGACTACGACACTTCATAATGTGTTCCAAAGACTCATGTATACCAGTACATAATCGTACGATTTATCATGGTTTAAATTAGACACCAATTCATTCTCGTTGCTCAATTTATTTTTGACTTACAAATGTTGCTTTATCAGGGCCATCTATCATAGAAAATAGCTTTGTAGAAATGCAACTCTCTAAATAAAAACTTTTTACTAAAAATTGAACGCATATGGCGCCATCTGTTGGGGATATTTTAGAATTATTCCGCTAAGAATCGAACCACTAGAATATAGGTTGGATTGGGTTTACATATAAAAGCTCCAACCACAGAATAACTGTTTGGAACCACTATGTGGCTCCAATTAACGTTCCGACTGGTTGGGAATCCCTCAGATGCAATTACACCTGTCAAATAATGCCGCACATTTGAATATCACTGCATCATATGACATGTGAGACGAGCTTCTAACAACTTATCACGTTAGCTGAAACAAAGCTATAATGTCAATTATAATCTAATTATTTAATCATACCATTATTACTTTAATATACTCTTACCGAAAAATCACTTTAAAATGACGTTTTCAGCTGTCATTCTGAACAAACTTCAACTTTATAATTTTAAAAGTTGAAGTTAGCGGCAAATTCAAAAATATAACACGAATTGGAATCTATACTTTTTAAATTAAAAGAATGATACTGGTAATAATTATTATTGTTGTCTCTCATCATTCCCATTATTAATAATAAAATTGTTAGTTTAATTAAATTATTTCAGTATAGACGCTAGTGCCATCTTACGGTGGGATTTCGACATACAATCAGTCCCAAGTTCTCAAAAAGAATTACATTTTTTCACATCGGAAGAGTTCTTTTATACTTAATTTCGCTTGTTTCTTTATTTTTTAACTCTTACTTCACAACTTATTAATTTTTGGTATAAACAAGATAACTTACTATACAAACACATCTCAAAAGAAAAGAACTCTATATACCGTTTTAATCGTGTCAGATTCAATTAAAGATCTTGCAATAGATGGCGCTCTTAATAGTAAGAAATGAATTATTCACTTTATTTTATTTATTAATTCAAATCATTTTAATTGTATTTCATTTTTAATAATATTGTTATTTTATTTATATACATTATTAATATATTTCCTAAATAAATGCTAAATCTTAAAAAATCCAAATCTCAATAATTGTGAAGTGAGTAAGTGACAGTTTAAGGTAGCAAAAAAATTACAAATTATTATTTATTTATAATTACTCAATTATTGTGCACCACTAACTTATTATTAAATTTAGGTGGAAGATTTATGTATTTACAAATAATTATATCACTATGTTTTTGAACGAATAGTTCCTAACTTCAGGTAATTGTAAAGCTCAGGGCGCGTGCTTGAATTTTGTAGAAGCTGGAGCGTTTTCGTGACCGGTAAGAGACAACAATATGCGCTGCGCCGCGACGCGAACAGTTCATAACAATAATATAAAAATGATCCGTATAAAATAGCGTGTTTTTCCGTAAATTCTTTTCGAACTTTCACAAAAAATCAATATAAAGACTTAATAGTGTTTAAAACAAGCTGGGTTTTTAAATCTAATTGCAGACAAAAACGTGAAAGTTTCGCTTTAATGGTAAATAATAATAAATATTTATTACAATTTTATTATTTTATATATCACATTTTAACTTCGTAGTTTATATTTGTAATTTTATATTTAATTACTTTTCAAACAAAAAAAAATCATGAAAATAAGTTTTATTTTATCCAGATTATATTAATAATGTAATTAATTTATTAATTATTATCAACGGGATATTTGTGATTACATTTTCGTTTTCAATTAAAATTGAGTTGGTACTCGTGATACTCAACTGATTTAATTTTGAAATACCAACTTTGACGTTTTTTTATTGTTTTGCATAAAGAAATGTGAAAAGAAATCTGTTTTAAGTTTTTTTTTGGGAAAAATGGTGGTAAACTCGATCGGAAACGATCGTTGAAACGAATTCTTTTCATGTTGAAACATCACACCCTCTTTACTCGCACCCCTTATCATTCGTCACACGTGTGGCGATTACTTACACAAACTGCACACGAAATGTTCGCGTTATATGTAATATCGAACGGAAAACGTGGTCATTTTTTTTAACAAGAAAATTTTGAAAATTTATGCTATAATACCACTAATTTGTTGGAGATTGTTTACATTTAGTTTTAGATTGTGTTATTAGATTATACTGTAAAGACCGGTTATAACGAACACGCGATATAACGAGCATGTCTCAGGTCCCGTCAAAAGTGCTATCCTTACAATGTTAAAAATCGGCTATAATTATTTTACTATAACTAATTAATTATTATAACTAATTTTGCATGTTTTGTACCGCCTATAACGAGCGGATAAGGTAAAGTCATGCATAAACTGTGGAACTTTATCTACTAACAAAAGAATCAATTTCTAGAGGCTTTATTTACTGTATCACGTTACATTGAAACCAACTATACAGATAAAAGTGAATGTATGTCCAACAGTAACATTCGCTAGGAATTATTGCAAAAAAACATCAAATAATATTTCACTAAAGAAGAGTTTTTTGTAGTCAAAAAAAGTATATTTGTTTAGTTATAGATTGCATATAGTTTTAGTTTGAATAGTATGTATAACATACTTATATTTTTGTTAAATTAAGTAATAACAAAATGATAAAAGTATGTTTTGTCGTTTAAGAACCACGGGTGACTACTTTTTATTAACAATAAGTTTAGATTACATATTTGGCAACTTTGGCTATAACAAGGCAATCACGAACGATTCTTCCGCTCCCTTGGATGCTCGTTATAGCCGGTCTTCACTGCATTTGCTTTCAAATCAATTAGTTTTAGAAATTTTTTAAATTTAAATCAATTTTTATATTGTCCTATATATAAATCATAGGTCTTTAATCATAAACAAAGATGAATTATAATGCGCAAAAACAGGTGATCGCCGTCAAGGTTCTATAACGAATCGTCACCTTTACCACGACAATATTCAAACATCTCTAAATGTGACTCTTATGCTAACCAATTTATTCATTAGCCACAATAAGACTAAATTGCAAACCGATGTGGATTTGAAGATTAATTGTAAGCATTTACAGTAGATTTTCAGATATCTAAAATTATTAAGGTGTTATGGAGACTTCTAAAGGGTTCTCAAACATTTTTGAGGTTTCTGGTATTACTGAAAAATCACCAGGTTGTATAAACTTTTTTATATACAGGTTGGGGCAGTCAAGCTATTTAAAACTATTAAAAAAGTATTATAA